TCGCATTGGTGATGATAACGAGTCTCGTGCTTTCTTATGAATAGATAAGATACAATTTTATATTACTGTCGCGAGGCTCAGCAGAAATGGATACTTATCTTTACACAAAGTTCCATAGAGAACTTTGCGTCTTTTCTGGTTGATTAGAAGTAGTATCACGACATGTTTTTCGATGATTTCTAATCGAATACGCAAAATTTGACAAAGATTTTATTCTCAATTGTGACATTTAATATTGAGGTGTAAATAAGTGATGCATCTATTCATATCAACAAAGATGGAAAATGTATCATCAGTTTTATCAGCGCAATGAAGAGCGACAATAGTTGCTGGTAAACACTTGTGATCACTTGGACAGAAACAGGGATTTTCTCCATTGATGGATGTTATTGTTACACCGAGTTCTGATTTACTAGAATTATTTTATAAAGAAATTTTTCACATATTCCTCCAAGATCCTATATAGGTTTGTAAAGTGCGTACATTAGATTGGTCGTCAGTTTTCATCCGTGTAAACAAATTTTCACTTAATTTGAGTAAAAGATAGGTACTTCATTTTAAAATGATCATTTCGTTTATCGTGTGATACAGTAAAAACAATTTTTCTAGGCAAAATAAGAAATCCTGATGCATACTTCCGCGTTTAAATTACAGTCGAAGGGAGTTTATCACAATAGGACAGTGGACCAGTGCTCTACTGAACACTGATGTCACTGAAACCAGTGCTCACTGGCACCGAACCCATCGATGTTCACTAACTCAACTCCATCGGTGACGTTAGTGATCAGTAAACTGAAACTGCATATCTCTATCAATATATAATGCATAAAATGTCGTTTAATATTTAGTTCTATTCATCTTTTTTACCTTATAACAATTATTCAATTCCAATAATATCGAGCATTGAAGAACATGGTGAGTGACATATTACTTTTTTTTTTCCTTTTTCGTCTTTCTCTGCGATCAGTTATTCATCTTAAGTAAGATATCCATTCAGTTACATGGTACACGATTTATTTCTTTTCAAGCTGTTTTATTTTCCTATTAGTTATTTAATTTCACTGACATCAAACGTTGAGTCCTATTGTGCATGAGTTATCTGTCTTCGAGGTTTTTTTATTCCTCTATTAGTCATTCAATTCCATCAATATCATTTATTGACTCACATAGTGCGCGATATACTTCTTTTCTTCTTTTTTCTATTTTCGTCAGTTATTCAATTCTAACAGCATCATTAATTGAGCAATCTACCTTTCTATAGTTGATGGAATTAACCAAATTTGTAAACTACCCTTCGATCTATTGATTTAGAGTTGATGAGGTTAATAAACGCTTTCTTGTAGCTTTCCAAGATGTAGTGCTGTGGTATTTGATATACATGTACACTTTTATAAACGAATATATGTGTTGTAATGAATTGATTTTGTAATGTGATTTGCAATTCGAAAGGGTTTAGGAAAATGCAACGTATAACATGCCTCTTTTCATAGGAGGTATTTTTAATTGATAAATCGTTTTATTCAACGTTTTGATGAGTAGAGAGAAAGGTTTAATACATTCTGATAAACGCCATAAAATAGTTTATTAAATGTTGGGTGTGGGTTCGAGACCTTATTATACCGTACTCATACTCATATCCCACAACCACACCCAGCCCACACTCTTGATAAACAATGTAGAGGAAAGGGCTGGGAATCACGTAGGTTTGTGAGACCAGCTATGTGCGCTCTCTGTTGAGCTTTTTTATTGGTTTGCAGGAGTTTATCAATAGAATAGCCACCACAATCGCGGAGACGGATTGTATTGTAGTAGATTCACATCGATTCGCTCGTTTACAGTCGATCGTTGAAAATAACCCTATGTAATAAATTGTGCTCAGAATGAAACATAAAACAGGACGTTTACCCTTCCATCAAAATGAATGTATGGGTTCTGTTAATAGTTTTAACCGGATTTTTTTTGTGTGAAAGGAATCTGGAAACGGCATGAGTGACGAAGGAATGAATCATTTGTTGATCTATGATCAAGCGTAGTATTGCATCAGCTTCATGCAACGAACATGCCGTGGTCTGACGTTGAAATGGTTATATACTTGAGTCAATATTTACCAAATTTGGCTTTTTCTGTTTGATTCTCGCTTTTTCTCGTTCTTTACATATTGCATTGCAAAAAAATGTCGATAAATGCATTTATTTCTTCGTTGTTGTTTTTGAGAAACGATGAGTGCTGATTTGCCAACGCAGCTTGAACAATTGCCTGACGAACTTTTTTTACAAATTTTCTCATATTTTGATGCGATCGATCTTTATAACAGTTGGTCATTGTTGAATCAACGTATTACGTCTGTTCTTAACGATGTTCAGCTAAGCGTCGACACATCTCGTTGGACGAATCGAAATGAGCACATCTATTTACTGCATCAACTTTCACCCAAGCTCGTACGACTATGGACATCGGATTTGTGTCCAACGATTGATCTAGCACAAATACCTAAACTTTCCTCGTTGACAATTGAATCCCCAACGGCTGAGCAGAGCGCAACTATCACTCGTCTACCTCGTCTAAAATTTCTCTCTTGTCCCGAATATCAACATCTACTGGACGCTCTGTTTTTAGACAGTCCTAACAGAAACTTTCCTTCTCTGCAGACATGTGTTTTCATAGGTAGTTATAGTCATCTTCGGCCTACGTTTCAGCCGAATAATATACTTCGTTCTTTATCTCTTGTTCAATGTTCTATCACACAATGTGATCAACTGCTCAGTTTGCTTCCATGTCTGCAACACTTAAAAATTGAGCAAATTGGTGATGATGTAATCAGTACTATGTCAATGGCATCATCTCATTTACTGTTGACCCATCTACAACTTGGTCTTCGAAATACAGTGGAATGGTCTCATCTAAGCATTCTACTCCAATCAACACCTCAATTACGGCGCCTTAATCTATACGGCTATCATGATTCTTTCGATTTGACTATGTTAGGACAAGAGATCTTGGAAAAACGGACACCTCATTTGAAACAGTTTCAATGTCAACTTCAGTTGATATCCTCAGCTAATGATCAAATCAAACTGCAACAAACAAGTATATTTCTACAATCTGTTCAATGTAACATAAATATAACTTGATTTTTTTGTCTATTTTAAATATTAATCTTAGAGCTTTTATTCGAAAAGATATATTCAAAAAATCAAAAAATTTACTGTCGAATCATAATGAGGGATGGCAATTTGCTCTTGAAACTGTAGAGAACTTAATAAGATGAGAGAGCAACAGGGAAAATGTTACAGACAGATTAAACTTGGCGTCTATCAATTACTGATCGATCGTTTACCAATGCATGGGTGTAGGTGGGTGTGGGTGTGGATGCGGATGTTTGTTGATCAGTGCTAGTTCAGCTTCACACAAAAACCTATATCCACACGCACACTACACCCACCCTCACCCACACCCCACACCCACACCCTCGTCATTCTCTCGCGTAGTATCATATTCGACAAGTGATACATTTTAGTATCGTTGGCAATGAGTGAAAGACTCTTCATAAAAAAACAGTTACGCAGCGAAAAGCATAATGAGCGAACCTTTTTTCCATGAAAAAACTGCGATAGTGGAAACACTTTTGCACAAATTGCACAAGGCAAAACACCGAAATGAAAAACCGTGAAATCCTTATCTTTAATTAAATAAAAAATAATTTCAATTAGATTCAAGAAGCAGAGGCAGGTAACACATATAAACATTAGGTAATAGAAAAAAGAAAAACTAGAAAAATTCAAACTACTTTCTTCGATTTTTAGTTACGAGTGTAGATAATCCATGAAGAAATTCGGTCAAGACAATTTCTTCTAGTTCATGATGTTCAATGAATGTTTCAATCTGTGCTTCGATGATGTAATTTTTACTGTTTAATTTGTTTTCGGAACCACTATTGGTCTTTCTTAGCTGTTGATGAAACGAAAGTTCTTCTTGTTGTAAACATTCAAATGGGTGCCCAAACGTTGGGTTGATGTTTCTCGACTCGATTATTAAAATCGTTGTATCAACCAACACAATGAATCATTATCATACATAAATAATCGAAGCTTATCACGGAAAAAAATTCGCTGAGTGCACATCGCATCTGAACAGATTGTCACAGACGTCTCTGGTGGCTGGAACAATTATGGACTACATATCCGAATCAAACTCTACCATTTCTAATTAGATAATATGGTCTGAAATAAATGCTTTGATATGTGATTTTAAGTTACTTGACATTGCATCTTGCTAGAAAAGCATTGGAGTCTACCAGTATAAGTGAGACTTTTTACTACATTGAATGTTCAGTGTCAAGACAATGATCGTGTAGATAGTAATCATGTATATGAGAAAGACATGACGTACAATGATGATCTCAGTGATATATTTTTGCCGAGAGAGGAGGAGCTTGCCAAACGGTTACAACATTGTCTATCAGTCGAATTTTTTATATCAAGAAATGCTAATAAGCTATATCATATTCGAATATGGCTGCATTGATGTGGAGTTATTTTCTGGTCAGATAATTGTGAATCGTAAAAAAAATGTTCCGAATATTTCTACCCACTGTTTTCAATATTTGGAAAACGCGATTAATCAACAAATTGGATAAATTTTATGAAATTACATTTCAGTCCAGACAATATACTTAATCAAAATGCTTTGAAAAGTTTGTTTCTAAGACAATGATTTTGTGAAACCGAATCTCACTAATTAGCAAGCCAGCACAAACGAAAAATTCATAATGGTTAGTTTTTAGAGTATTTCTCATATAGAAAGTACAAGGAAACAGTTATTACTCGAATAAAATAAACAATAATTATATAATATACGACGATCAATTTTTTTTGAAAGGTTGGATTGTACTTGTGTCTTCTATAATGGCGAGGCTCATTACCGGTTTGTGGCGTCCACTACATGATTCGACTCCGTGAAAACCTCCAGCTACATAACATGTTTTTGATTCATTGGTTACTTCATTGTTTACTAGAATGGGCACCTTAAATGAATTAAGTATTATTTGTTTGATTTCACAACTACTCTTTGTATGTAATCCATAACAGAGCCGAAGAAACCATCCACTCACGTATGTTCCAGCCATTCTGAAAATGTAAAGAAAATATCATCAAATTTCTGTTTCCTTTGTATATATTTGGTGTATTGAATTTTTTGTCAAATGACCGAACAAAATTTAGGATTCTTTCACAAATATTTCAATTTGTTTCGAATTGACAAAGGTATCATTTACTAACGTGTGTCCATTTTTCCGTGAACTAATTCAAAGTTAATCAATATTTTAAAGAAAATCCATTGTTATCTCATATGAGTCAGCTGTATGCTTGATTTTATCTAATATTTTTAGCTTGTCTATGTAATTTTCTTAATGTATGCAAGAGGAAAAATATCACATTGCACTAAATGACTATTTAACACTCGATGATATGACGCAGTTGGCATACGACGATTATGTAATAGTTCTGTCTTCTTTCATGTTTACATCCTAAAATCTCTATATCATCATTTAGCAAAAAGTTCAGTAACTATATGATTCAAACTGTTCAGAGCGTGAATCCAGTCAGAGACGAACTAGTCTGGATTTTTGACGACTGATAATCGGATCGACATAGAAGTCACCAGTATTGGCTCCCTCTCCGAATTCGACCCTGTTATCGATCTTCTATTATAACTGCTCACCTTCCTGATCCACCACCACCCACATGCTCGATATCCATGATCTTGTTCCAGAACTCATTATCGACTTTACCTTGATAGGTTTGAATGAATTGATCGATGACAGGTAATAAGGCATTAATGTAACTCTCAAAATTATTTCGATCAGACATAGTAAACTTCTTGAGTTCTATAGCTTTTTTTCGTAGAATATTCCAATCGTCTAATGTGCCCATAAAGTGAACATTGCGAATGCCGCACTTGGTAATATAGCATTCATATTCGAAATACTTTTGAAATGTATCCATGATGGCTACACATGAAAGGAGTGATTCAATATTGGTTGTTGTTGAAAAATTTGATGTCAACATTTCTGCAACGTCAGTTTTCATATTCTGGCTTATTTCTACTCGCATTCGCTCAAGAAAATCATTCCAACTACAAAAAATAACAAATATCTTAATTTCTTTTTCTTTTCAAAATTTAATAAACTCACTCGGGTTCAATCCTGGCTGTTTGTCTGACGGTCAATCTTTTTCGATCATAATCATCAACAAAAAGTATCCGGAGTTGCTCTGCATTATCATTTACATATTGAGAAAAATAGATGCAAATCATCAGCCAAATATCGTCTGGACATAGAACAATATCCTCATGTGAATTGTAAGCAAAAAGAAAAGCCGAGAAAATTGCATGCCTCTCAATTGATGATGTATCTGAATATAAGAAGATTTGCATCAATAAAAAAAAACTCAAAGTTCGTATCGCTTACAAGAACCGTTGGCAATCATATGTTGGATTTTATAACGTGATTTGTTGTCTTTCTCATCCATCTTATCAATCCAGTAATCGATAGGTGGCAGATCCTTGTTCTTGTAAATTTTATAATATTTGTTAACCTTCGGAAGATCTGCACAAATAGTCACTGTATGGTAATAAGGCGGAACATCATCGTTGTTGATGATGGTCGATGTAGTTGTCGCCATGCTTGTATCCGTCGATATTTTTACAAATCTACAAAAAAAGTGAGCCGTAACGTAGAGCAACAAAAAAAATAATGGTTGTGTAGAAACTAATAGAAGAACAGAAAAAAATGAATAAATATTTGCATACACGAGAAAGTGTTTCACAACTTTTAACTGGAGTTGAGTCATATATTGACTGGCATGACACAAGAACAGGAAAAAAAATGTAGATTAGTCATTACAAATGGTGTAACTAGCAACTGGGTAGAGACGCTGAATTTTATTTTTTAAATAGAACTTCTCCGTTAATCTACCATATGAAAATTCAAATACGTACATCTTTTGAATAACAGATCACAAGTTAGTCTATATGAGGAACTTTTTATTTATAATGGGTGTGGATGTGCGGGTGTGATGGTGTGAATATCAATGACGATGGTAACACCCACACGCATACCCACGCTCATGGCATACCATTCACTGTCATCGAACAATGTGACTTAGACACTATAACTGCCAATGACAATGTATGTAAAAAAGAGAGAAACATTGTGCCCATCAAAATGAAAAAAACAAAATGTAGATAAGATTCTATAAGAACACGATGAATCTGCAAATAACCAACGTGTTACTGAAATATTGATGAGACAAACAAATCAAGGCAGTTCGGGAAGAAGAAAATGTATCGAGTTTTACACTGTTTTATTTTATTCATCTCTGTATTTAAAAAAAATAAACTGAGAATTTTTTCATATAATGAACATCCATTGAAACAATGACATGAAGCCAATTATATTGATCTAACATGAAACTGGATGTCAGGTTCCAATGCCTTTTCAATTTTTGCTATTTTCTCCATTAATTCTTCATCTTTTACCATATATCTCACTACGTCCAAAGTTACTCTCTTCAATTTATTACGATTATAAGTCAATTTTGTCCATTCGTGTAGGCATAATAATGTATTTACATTGTATTCATTTGTAATTAATCGAACATATTGTATAAAGTTCATACTTTTGATAAAATTAATCACTGTCATCAAAGTACATAATTCATCTTGTTGCCAACAATCGTTAGTTGATGATAACGGAAAATTTCTCATGTCAAGAAGAAAATTATCAATGGAGAAATTTTTCGAGAATACCGTGTTGTAGCAATTGAAATTCGAATGAATACAAACAAAAGCTGGACAATGAATTTCAAATCGTTTGATTGAACAGTTCAGCTGAGACAAGCCTCTACTCAAAAGATGAAGACTAACTTCATTATCATACCAAAGAGCAAGATGTTTCAATTTAGGAAAATATGTTTTGTACGTGTTGATTGAATCTAATTGTTGAAAGTTGAGAAGATTCAATGAGGTAATGTTACTAAAAGCAATTAATGAGTGTAATTGTGATGATGTTTGGCATGAATTGTTATTAAGGCGTAAGGAAACAATTTGTTCAGGATTGAGTGTTCGAAGAATCATATTAATAAATGCATTTGACGGATCACAAATCTCCATCTTTATTTTAGATTGACGTAATGTAGGAAGAATATTAGGGGAGAATAGATTAAGTATGTCGTTTAATGAAAGATATTGGAGTATTTTGCAAATAACGTCCCAACAAAGACCAGTCTTAACGATGAAGTCATCTAACTGAAGAGAAGTGGATGGCTAAAAAAGAATTTTTTTTATTGATTTGTTTAATTACTGAAATTCGTTTTATTTTATATACTTAATCAAACTGACCAAATATATCAAACAAAAACTTACTAAAGTTTGTTCATTATCATCACATCGTTCTTTGTAAATAGTCAATTCATTGAGTACTTTTTCTAGACTTGATTTCTCTAGAGTTCTAGTCAAAATATCACCTTGAAGCAATATGTTGTATTGATATTCGGACATTAATGGATCATTTCATCTCTATACACAACGTCGCATGACTCCAATCAGCATAGGATATTCCTTCGCATTAGAAGTAACCGACAGTTGAGTTGAGAATATTTCTTTCCAAATATTTTTTAATCTAATTCGAAAAGATATTTTATTTTTTTAGAAAAAGATACTTATGTTATTTGAAAAAAAAAATCTAATTATATTTTGGAAAAAGAATTAAAATATATGAGAATCTAATTTTCTGTTCAACGAGTATTTTTAAAAAGTTAACTATGCATATCAATAAATAACAGATGACTTACGTATTTCTATTCGATTCTGAAGTAACATCCCATGGCCATACAATATAATTTTCAAGTAAATAATCGATAATAATTGTCGATGTAAATATTTTATAACAAAATACGTTATTGAACATACTTTCGTCATTGTGTATATAGATAAGTACTGGACGGCACTAAATTAAAACACTTTTGTATTCTTTTTCTATAAGTATAAAAAGAGATCTAAACAAACTTCTTGAATTACTGTTGAGTTGAAAGCTTCGTGGCATGCATCTTGAAGAGAACCCTCAAAGAATACTGGACAAGCATGATACCGTCGTTGAAAACATCGATAAAACGATTGAACGTCAGGAATTCCATTCTCATATACTTCGGGAACTATCAAATGATTTATCAATAAAAAATCTTCTATCTTTTTTTCTCGATAAACAAAAGGTAACTTACAAGATTCGTTAGTGTCAACATTAGATTCATCATCAGAAATATCACTGTCACTGTCTATTGACCTCGTTTCCTAAACAAAAAAGAAATGAATACAATTACTTGTTAAGATCAAATCATCTTAAGATCTCGTGTTTATTGAAAGATTTGTAATGATTGGCGTATTATCAATTACACTAAATATAGCTGATTTTTTTTTCGTTCATTTTCTATTGATGAAAAATGTTCATTTATATTTTGAACGATAAAAGATTTTCAAGCTCGATAAAACTATATACTTTATTTTCCAAATAAGTTTCCATTGTTGGAGCTTAATAAAAAGAATGCATATATACTGAGTCATTAAAAGGCAATTTGTTATTTTCTCTTAACATGCATCAATGACTTGAAGCATTTGCTCATCAAAACCAATGGTGAAAGTAAACTATTTAATATCGATAGATAGAGACGCTTGGAATTTATTTTTCCATCACGTTTTTGTTAAAGGATGTGCGAATCTCGTCAGAGTCGAACTCTGAAAGTCAAAGAAGATGATGGTCGGATCAGAATGTAGAATTGTTTTATTACGAAATTACGTTCTCTTGTATATATTAGGAGTGGATATGGTGGAAATAACTACGATGATAAACAAGATAGGAAGAATCCAACAATAGTGATGAGAACGGATGAATAAATCCAAACGACAATAGGGATATGAAAGAGAAAAAGTGAACGCACTGTGAAAGAAAGATGCATTGGAATAGAAACATTACGGAAGGGATGTCGACCACTCCATGACGTTTTTCAAGGATCCTAGTACTGTTGTAGACAAGAAAAAGTTTCGAAACTGATATCTACCGTTATTTTTCAGGTACACTTTAGAAAACTATGTTGTCAAAAGCTGGATTGGCTTTATGAAAGGTTTATTATTATGTTTTTGGATGTTGAACTGGTAAATAGAAAAGTGAAATAAGGTAGGTTATTTTGAATTAAAAAACCTCATTATAATCTAAGTTTATTAGAGGAGGATTTTCATTGTTTTACAATTGTTCTTTTTTTCGTCGAAACTGTTTCTCTCAAATATTTTATCCAAAATTCTGAAACATGTAGCTGGAGTTACAGAGTTTCATAGGAATTTCAATGGAATAATTCAAATTTTAGTCGCACTATTATGTGAAAATTCTAATTCGTTTTTCATTTTTTACTGATCCAGTTGAATAATTGAGAGAATATGTATCATTTTAATTACGCATCTAGAAGGAAAATTTATTTGAAAAACAAACTCGACAATTTTATCGAGCTTGAAATTCTCTCTATGTTAATATAGAAATGAAAATATTTCATCAGCAGAAAATAAACGAAAAACAGCAAAAGAATTTAGTACAGTTTATTATGGTTTATCGGTTAGTTTCAAAAATTATCATGAACATGAAATGGTTATTTTATGTAAACCTAAACAAGAAGTATCTTACCATTAGCATTGCTGAGTTTCTAGTCATAAATAGGAAAGATTTTTAAAATGATCAAAGACGTATATGTCTGCAATTATATTTTCACAAAAAAAAACTAATCGTATAAGTATATATATATATATATATATATATAAAACCCAGTTTTTTTTCACACTGCAATGCGTCATACCTTTTGTTGGAAGAATTTTATGTGTCAGCGGCGTGAAAGAGAAACAGAACACTAAACCAGGTATGTTTTTTTTCCATTTAGCTTATAGGTGAAGTCAAAGTTATGACAACACGGACAAAACTGATTTTATAATTTTCATAGAAAAATTTCCTCATATCAAAACATTCAATTGTATTTCAAACCAGAAGAGTGCATTTCATAAGATGTAGGGTGTGGGTGTGGGTGTGAGTCTTGTTTTCACCCACATCCACCCACACTCATACTCACAACCATCTACACACACATCCACACTCACACCCAACTTTAACCAATAGCACTAACAGCACGATTTGTATAAAGAGAAACAAATTTCTTCAGTTTGACTAACTACTTTTTCTCTTATACAAAAGATTTATTATGTTATCCATAGAATAATCATTTAAGAATTTCGAAAGAAGTCCAATAATAAAGCAGGACTATATGTAATTTCATCATGTGAGGTTTTTTTTCCAAAGACAAGAGATAAAAATAAGATTAAAAAAAAATGGAAAAACGTTGAGTGTTGAATTTTATTATGGTTTGTGTGATCCTCTTTTAATTCTCGAGACTAGATAATCTAAGTAGAATAGTGGACTAGAGATATAATCGCAAAATCTAGTAATAATTAGAATATATTTTTAAAACAAATAGCAAAAAAATTGAATATTTTAATTGTCTGTGTCTCTCAATAAAATGGAAAAACGTTTACTAAAAAGTTCGTATCAGATTCGTAATTAGGATTTTTCGATCTTCTCTGTACTCAAATAATCTATGAAGAGAATCCAAAAGCGTGATAAACATCATGAAACTTCACTTTTTGATGGTTTGAATCACGCCGATTGTTATACAATAATATCTGCTACTCATAACATTATGAGTGGCTTCCTTGTTTTTGTCATCTGCATTTAAGTCTCATCGAAATATTTCTTTGAAATGACCAATCTTCATATCAAATTTATTTTGAGAAGTAGAATCATAACATAAATGTAGATTTCAATCCTAGAATTTATCAACCACTCTCAAGAATTTCATAAGAACTGAACTAGTCGAATAGTTATATGATAACAACTAATCAAGTCAAGGTTAAGATGCTATCTATAACTTTTCGAGGACTACTTAGAATATACTATCTAAAACTTTTTCATGGTATTTGGTATCAAAAGAAAAAAAAAGTGAGCGTCGGGAGTCTTCAAAGAAACATCATGAGACTTTTTTAAGTTTAAACAGACTTCTTGAAACTTTCACAATCATAGAGTCTTTAACTTTAGTCATGCTCATAACATTATATGTAACATTTTTGAATTTTACGACAGAGTTGAAAAAGTTAGCGGAAGTATTCCTCAGTTGTTTTGAAAGGTGTTTCAAATATCATCCTCAGATAGTTGTTGAAAAATTAAGAGTAGAACTTCGTTCTAGCTCTTAAAATATTATAGATACTACTACTCTAAGATGCTTCTCAACAAGTTTTAATATTAGCCTAAAAAGATTCCTAAAAAAATATAGATAACCTATTAATCTTGGATCAATTTGTTCTTATCAAAACCATTTTTCAAAAAAAGAACAGTCTTAACCGGTCATTAGCTTATTTGTTTCAAATTTATAAGATCAATCTAGTCTCTTTCTATTTTAATAGTCAGCTAATTGCTATATGAATTGAATCGATATTCATATCAATTGATAATCCATTGTAACTCGTAATAATTCTGTTTTGGAAAAAACTATATATTGAAGAAATGGTATTAATCTATGCAGTATTATAGTTTCAAACCATAAACATACATCTTAGTGTCAAATCAAATATTCATAAGGGATTTTCAATATCACTATCGTTATGTTTCTGAGTTTTGAAAATATATTCATATAATATGTTCTATTCTGATTGCACTTTTTTTTGAGTTCCAAATCATCAGATGCAATCTTTCCTTTTGAAATTCAATGTATTTATATTAATACCAATCGATCAATCTTGAATAATAAATATGAAGTATTCTTTATGAATTCCTTTTCAAATATTCATAACAATAATAAGGTAAAATGAAATAAATAACCAATAAATAAATAGTTAAATAGATAAAAGTTAACAAAATAATCATCGATTATTAATATTTTTTTTGATGATTTTTAAAATAAAAATTTATACCACATTATTGAGTATCCAGACCTGATATTCAAATTTTATCACCTACAAAGGATGGCCGTGTATCTGCCTTGATTTTATTTGATGATCCTCGTGATGTTACAGCTGCCATGGAAAAGTACGCAGCACCCGACGATCCTGATCTTTTGAAATTTAGTGCATTCAAACTTCGACTCGTGCCTTTACTTGATCATAATATTCAACTTCATTCGGCATTGACTAAAGCAATACCAAACAAAATCCAGCATGTTATTGATAGGATAAAAAACGATCCAGAATTTTCAACTATTCGATTAATAAAGAAGGTTAATATGAAGAATGAACAGGAAATTACTTACATTTCAATCAGCGGAACAAACATTCTCCAAATCTACAAAGCTCGTACCGTTTTCGACGATTTAATGTAGGGTCAAATATTCAAATTCCAACAACCATCATGGGTAAGTCTCCAATCAATATCAGCTTCTTAAGTCATCAAGAGATCAACCGGGAAGAACCTTCAGTTGCCTATGGCAACGTGTGAATGAGTCTGAAATACCTAATCAAGACAGAGAGAAAATATATTTAGGATTCAAGATTTCATATAGATTCATCGCCCAAAGTATCTTCCGAAAAATTAGAAGTTGAAGGTTCCAAAGTCTATAACACAGTGGCCCAAAAATCCTTATTTTAGGATGTTGACATGTCTGTCATGGTCATGTTTGACCAAAACCTTATAAAAAGCATTCATCGCATCATCATGATGACGTTAGTCAGAAGGTTTTGTTTTTGACAAAAATTCTTGTTTTTTTTTTGTCCATATCGGCCCATATCGTTACATTTTAGGTTTCTGTTATATTCAACCCGAAGGGTAAAAAATTTCTTCAAGAACTTCAAGATCAGATTGGTGTGTAGATTTAGTGGGACTGGAAGTGAACATTCTTGAGAATTTTTGGCGAAGATCAAACAAGTGAGAAGATCTATCAAGCGATTGACACGTACATTCAGCAGACACTTGCTCGCCATGAACAATCAGTTTCTATCTCCATTCCTGCAGGTAAGTCATGAGATGAATATATAATGCAATATTTTTCTTTTTTTTAACATTCAAGGTTGTGTACGTCAATGTATGCAAAAATCAAATGAGCTTCGACATTTGAGCAATGAAAAAGTAGAAGTTACTATTGATGTGATCAAGCGTCAGATTCTTGTCAGCGGGGATAGACAGTTCGTACCAGAATGCGAGCAAAAGGTGAAAGAGATTCTTCAAACATTTGTATCAGTACCCGTTCATTCTACTGCTACGGCTTGGCAAAAGACAAAAATAACAACAGATATGAACACTTTATGTCCCGTATGTATGAGTCAATTAGAGTCACCGTATTCATTGCAACAATGTGGACATACTTTCTGTCGTACATGTTTAATCGGTTATTTTGAAACTTATTTCGACGCAACGATGGCATTGAATGCTTTCAAATCGTGTTGTACATACGATAAATACAATGTCAAGTATCTCATTCGAGACATTGTGTCTATACTTGGTTCCCAACAAGCAAATCGTCTTGCAATGATTGCCTTCAAAATTTATATTCGATGTCCACAGAACGATCTTGTTCAGTGTTTCGGAAACGATTGTGATCGGGTACTATGGTCATTTTGTTTTTAAATTAATGACAAAAATTGATCTCACAGTTGTAATCGGTAGAAAGAACGTTAGCGAAATAGTGACGCGAAGGAAAACATTTTTTGAGTAAAATGCAGTTCATCGCAATTTGAGAGTTTTTATTCAGATCATGTTCAGTCAAGGTATACATACTAGTGGAAACTGCAGTTTTCAGCGTTCGTACATACCTCGGTTAGCTTGACGCTAACCGCTGAATAGTAAGAGCAGTCAGTTTGACTTTGTACTTTTAAAATGCAAATATCCGAAAAAAATTCAAAGTTTCTGAAATTCTTATTGAATATCTCATCGCTTCAATGTTTGATCCATCTTTCATAACTATTTGACACTGAAAATAGCCTATTAGGCAATATTGAATACATAGAATTGTAAATAAGTACTGCTGATCTCCGAAAGTTGTTAGATCTTCTGATATTATCTGTATAAATTTTTCTAAATGTAGCCCAGTACAAATATTGAGGCATAGAGACTTCGAAAGTGTTTAACTATAACTATTTTTTCTATCAATAGGCAAGTATCGATTTATTCAAGTTTGCAGAAACTTCACAATTAGTCAGAATTGCATTTTTATGATGTTGTGTCTCAACTTGTTATTTAGGTTTATCGTCCATCGACATATTCATCAACGTATTTATGTGATCAATGCATGAAAATTTACTGTATACCATGTAAAGCTGAATATCATTTTGGCATGACATGCGAACAATTTCAACAATTAGAAAAAGAACGGAAAGAAAAAGCTCTTCTAGAAAAGAACTTGAGCAAATTACCTTTCAAAAAATGTCCAAAGTGTCAAACGCTTATCGAAAAATTTGCTGGTTGTAATGCCATGAAATCTACACAATGTACCATTGCCTTTTGTTGGCGATGCTTATTTACAGATGATAATGATGGTAAGTTTCCCATAGGCAGAAACAATACACTTGAAGTGAATATTTTAAGTATTTTTCTCGTTTTAGTTCACTATCATTTTAATGACGAAAAATCATCGTGTTACAATCATTGTTTTGACGTGGATATTAAGTAGTCTAGGACTGCAAAGAAAAAATTCTGTTAGCTTCAATGATGTTGTGGGTATTGCCGCTAACTTTAGTGTTAGCTGGATATACTATGCCTTAGTCTCTATGTTCTCTTCTGTTTTCCATTTTTTTGTATTCCTTTTGTTTCCTTTCGTTCTGTTGATGACTTATGTTCATCTCAAGAAGACACAGTGTGATTTTCTTGATATTACGATTTTTTCTTTCCTTTCTTTTTTCGTTTTCTACGAAGTGTAGGTTACCGTCCAGTTTCATTCCAGGTTATGTCTCTTTTTTCCTAATAAATGTTTATCATCCAGATCCCTTTTCTCATCGATTCACTATTGATACAAGGGACGTTTCGTACGTGGGTAGATGTATTAGGGTTAGTTCTCACAGATTAAAGAAAACACCTCACAAGTTTTTATCAGTTGTGAAATAATGGTTTATACTCGCATCACATTCAATTTCTTTAAGCTAATCTAAATTTAAAAAAATGATTTTTCTAATATTTTTCTCATATGCACAAGTACAACTACCATGAAATCTGTTCTTATATATGAAGAAATATGAGAGAAAGAAAAGTTATATTTTACATCTACTGCATTGTGTCTCTAAATTTCAATTTTCATATCCAAAAGCATACACTTGTTGTATACAAATAGCACTCTTAGTTAATATGATTGTCTATATTTAGGAATCAATCAATTCTTATAACAGTTGAAGTGTAGGTATGGGTATGAGTACCTATCAGTGCGAGTCTTCTCTTCACTCATATCCACACCCACACACCCAGCCAGTGCTCAGTGTACCGCCCCTCAGTGACGTCAGTTGTCACTAAACCGAAACTGCATATCTCTAGGTGTGAGTGGGTGCAGGGTGTTGGTGTTGATGTCGGTGGCAGTATCGGTGTAGGTCTTCTACCACACCCAGGTCGCTTTGCCAGTTTTAACATAAATACTGCTCGGAATTTTTATCATTTATTTTAGAAGTGATATCAAAATCTTGGGGCTTCATTTATATTCGAACTCGAATAAGGCATCTCATTAAGTCACAAGCATTTTTATGATTATATATGAAGTGTTAATTGAAAAAAAAATATATAAGCCATTTTGTTTAGATTGAAAATAAAGACCCAAATCAAACTTGAATTCAGAAAATTCAGCATCTGTCAAAATTATAGTTAAACAGTTATAAAATGAGTCATAGTCGCGCATATTTGAATACTTTGTTTTGATTGATGTCAGAAACATATAAATTGAGATTTGAATCGAATGCAATCCCACCTACATGCTGAAGTGTAGGCGCAGTATTGGTGCCGGTTCCAACAATGATGTTGCCTGTTGTTGAATTGGGACAAAATACTACCACGCGCTGATTATTCATATCAGTAACGTATAAATTGCCATACCGATCCATTGTAATCTGTGTTGGTTGGTTGAGATCGGTACCATTAGCAGTAAACCATGTTGTGTTGGCGATACCTGCTCCGAATGTCCAAATTCCAACATAATCTTTGCTCTGATCACTCAAATATATTTGATTCGAAGAATCATTGATTAATAAAATGCCATATGGATTTTTAAGTTGACCATTAGCAGCACCATTGCTACTACCATCAATTAAAATTGTACCATTTGTTGTATTCGCAGCCCATTTCACCACTCTCTTATTACCCATGTCAGAAATGAACATATTAAAATTATCGTCGACGACAACACTAATTGGTTGATGTAGCTCGTTAGTTGCACTACCCTCGTTACCTGCTGATCCAGCAACAGTCGTACCGTTGTTTGAGTTGGGCGCATAGCGTTGCACACGATCATTACCAGAGTCAGCTACATACATGTACCCATTATTATCAAAGTCAATCCCTCCTGGTTGATGAAGCTGATTTGAACCAGCACCAGCACTGCCATCACTTTGGCCGGCTACGGTCGTACCATTCGTGGCTCCTAATAACCAGCGTTGAATACGATTGTTATTGTAATCGCATATGTACAGTATATCATTTGCATCAATGTATAACCAGCGAGGTTGGTTGAGATTCTCAGCATTATGTCCCGAGGCACCATTGCCTGCAACTGTTACACCTGTTAGGTTCCATTTAAGATCACTACCTGAAGCAATAACGCATACCACAAATGTGAAATGCCTCTAATATATAATTCAAAAGTTTTTCGTTGTATAACTAGCGCACTAATTTTGGCTCTATCGCTAATCTACTGAGTAAAGCAAATATTTTCCTACACTTTACAGCTCTTACTAAAAGATATACACAAAAAAGCTTTCACTAAGTTGAAACACCAAAGGAAAACAACAGTGAATATCCAACATCATCAAGCGATGAATGAAAAATACATAGTTGCTTGCCAATCGTTTTTTGAATTCGTTTATCATTAACTGATTCAATCTCATAAAAAAATATTTGAGAAACGAGAGCAGAAAAACAGCACTAAATGTGACTCAAGTATATCAATCATATGGATCGATAATAGAAATCAAGAAATGAGAACAACAAGACATAAAAGCATGTTAACTAATGGTTAACCACTATTAAAGCGTGCGTCTAAAATAACTTATTAAAAATACATAGCTTTCACAGTCTCATTTATATCATAGGGATCTAATGAAATTGTTTTCGAATAAAATCATAGTGTTCTAAGCAGTAATCGCGGTTGAGAACACTGATTTAAATTGTGATTTTGAGGTTGTGCATTTTCACGACACTAAATCTGCAATATCCAATACTGCAGTATTCAATAGTTTTACATACCTCGAAAAATCCTAATATCAGCTGTTCAATAACGATAACGCTCAATTTCAACGGTGTCTAAGGTCTGGGTTAATACAAACGAAATTTCGATTTCTACTCACGGCGATTTGAACTTTTCTTCGTAAGGTAGTAAGCATCACTACAAATCATTGTTTTCATGTGTTCGCAAAGAAAGATTTCTCTTAATAAAAGAATAATCTAGATTACGATCTTGATCCTAATACTTTTGGTCAACCATACTTCTATTTGCAGTCAGTGAGATCGGAATACGTTAAGTAGGAGAACTTTCGAGTCTCGTTTTGAACAAAATATAGTTAATTACTCAGTTTGTTACGTTCTGATCGACCTGAAACGTAAAAAGGTTTCATTTGTCATCAAACTGAAAATGAAGACACAAGTAGTGTATGCATAGTTTCTTTTCAAGAATTCTATCATTTTAGCCGATGGGTGACAAAACATATTCGATCCTCTTTTTCATAAAGTTGTACCTTCCAAAAATAGTTTCTCGAAATTAACAAAAGAACTTCGTTGTACGATGGGTGTGGATGTGGGCATTCTATTCTCTCACACCCACATCCACACTCACACACCCTGTGGTCATTTAGCCTGAGTCAGCCCTGATGATTCACAGAAAAATCGCAAATTCCATTGGCTTTTCTTAGCTGCGCAAGTCAGATCATAAACGAGGTTTCACATATGTTGGATGCCGAGGTTCGTGAAATCTTCTGTACTGTATGACTTTCGCAATTTTGTACCAAACGTTTCTCTGTGGCTGTTATATTCATTGTATATTACTGTAAATATGAAAACGAAGACTTACATTCAAATAGAGTACACATTGTTACATGTGTAGTCAAAATAGAACCTGCGGCTCCAACCCACTATCATGAATTAAAGTTTTCAAATTTGAAAATATTCACAGTCGAACCTTAAAGGAGATGCCCACCAGTTTATTCCTAAGATCACTATGCTTGATTTTACTGCATTTCATCGTAAACGATAAAATCACTGGGCAACAATGACAACGTGGTTACTCGTCGATTTTTTTTGGGGTGTTGAACAAGATTGGTTTTCAGAGTATATTTCAGGATGTCCATCCATGTCTTGCTCAATCTGGATTTGGTAGGCTTAGTCTTTGAATACGGTTGCAGTTGTATACTTCATGATACGGCACATTGGACTAGAGTAGCATATTACCAAAATGCTTTGAGAGAAGCTGACAAGTCAATAGTATCCAGGCTAGTGTCTCAATGCAACTTAACAGTTTTAAAACAATCGAAACAACTATTAAGTAAAAATACTGAATATGCTCTTATAATGGTGAAAATTTTTCAAAGCTATGATTGTTACTTTTTAAATAAGAATTAAAGTTTACAAAGGTACATTATGAGTTATTCCTCGTATATATCACAACTTCACCAAAAAAAGATGTTCACACGATGGAATCAGATTTGAATAGTTTTCTCATATGTTGTCCAGGCAAGGTTTTGATGAATATCTAAGCTAACTGATCAAAAAATATTGAACTACGTCAGAATATCAACCGAGAATGAATTTACAGAGCACAGATTTGAGAATAAGATACTTTACTTTTTCCAATAAGTAAAACGACAATCCCGTGAACAAATAAAAAAATGTATTCGGTAATGTCGCAGTAGCTTGCATTGTACATTACAAGTTACAAAAAAAAACTCACATGAATTGACAGCCATGGTGGTCGTTGTTGCTAAATATCGATAAAAACGTATGAATATTATACGGTATAATTTTATAACAATACTTGTAGTGGTGGTTGTCGATGCTATTGATGTTATCAACGTGGTAAGCGTTGTAGCTAAATTAAAAGAGTAAAGCACTGAAAAGGTGTTAATAGGTGTAGTAACACGACTAATGTTACTAACATGTTGCCAACTACACGTGCTAATGCCTTGCAAAATACTCTTATTAGACCTGTAAGCAACACTGTATTGTTCTGTCTGGGCAATCTGTGGAAAAAAGTTTGTCTAAAGGAAAAGTCGAGTGAAGAATTGGCGGTCGATGTCTTTATTAGGGATACACTACTAATCGCTAGTAATTGTGTATGGAGTCCTAAAATCTTACTGTGGACATTGAAATCTGTCTTAGTATTCTCTCCTGAGAGCGGGATATAATGAGATGGTTGTTTATTTCATTTGTGTATTCATCTATAACACTCAGAACTGAAACGGTAAATTTCTAAGAGTCTATAAATGGATGCCATCGTTGACACAACAACTTTAAATGTTGGTGTCTCTTTCATTTCTTTTTCATTCGTTCGTGACCATCGATACATATATATATATATACATGTCGATGGCTTGCTAATTGAAATACTGAAAGCTTGAAAATTTGAATTTCAAGTATTTAGTTATTTAAGTATTCATCCTGTCTCACTGTACGACAACAGAGAGAAGAAGAAGAATACCTCACCTTTCAGCTACCTTGTGGTATAGGGTGCTGTCCGAGAACAGTTTCGAAGGTCCAATATTTTTTCATTAAAACTCAACTTCGATATTTCCTTGAAAAATTCGATTTTTTAAGAGGGAGCTCCTTAATGGAGCCATAAGTAATTCTTAAAGTAAGGACTGATCGGTAGATCTCAGTGAAAAAAAATTAGATATCTTCACTCTATACTAATCAAATGGAGTTTTTTTTTTTATATCGATGACAGAGAGATGTTCAAAGTTTTTGTTCATAAGAGAAATATTCATAAATACTACGTTGAAGTGCTATAATTAGGTTCAAGAGGGAAAAATGATCCGCTACAAGTTTGAAAAATAAGTCATGTGTATGTATGACAACTTTCAATTATAAGAGATTTAGTTTTATCTAAAGCAAATCAAATGGAGAATATATCTTCATAATCTGATAAAAAAAATCAACCTGCTTTGTTGCAACTTCTTGAGTCTACAAGAGTTTATTTATCTCAAGTCATTTCTAGAATACACATGCGGAGTATATGTTTTCGAAAATCTTAAAGAGTAAATTTTGCTTCTTGAAACATTATACTACCTTGGCGCAGCATTTATTGACGTTTCTCATGAAAAAAACTGTGAACGTCTCTCTATCCACCATCAACAAAAAGTAATCCCATTTGATTTGTATAGAGTGAGAGCATCTATTTTTTTTTACGGTAATCCAGCAGTGAGTCGCATTGTCTTGAACATATTATAGTCGATTTTTGATTAAAATCAGATTATGCTGGAGAAAATGGAAGGTTCAAACACAAAATGAGATTTATAGACAGATAACCGACAGCTATCGTAACTTTCTTAGAAATATTTTTTACTAAGTTAAGTTCATTCTATAAGTTAGCAGTATTAGACATACAAGATTGACTGGAATTAGGAAAAATTTGTTGAAGAAAATAAAGACGAGCTTGTGATATTGCTTGAATTGTATAGATAAGCGGAAAAGTATTGAAGAATTCACATGTATAATTTGGAAAACAATTGAGAGCAACATAAGAAGAATTAGATAGACATAGACATTGCTTGCATGTTGTATTCATAATTATTGTGCTACTTGAATTAGATATTCCAATAAAACGAGCATTGTCAATGTAAGGTATCATGTTAGGAGTAACAACAACAAGCAGAGGTAATAGTTTAATGATAATGCTAATAAGCATATTGTAAAACTCTTCTAAAACAAAAAAATCTCATTCATAATTAAAAAGCTATATAAACATTGACTTTCTACCTATTTATTAAATATATTGGTAAGTATTAATTAATAATAAAATGAACGCTTATTTTTCAAATCTAGAAAGCTGCAAAAATCTTTTTAATCATGTTTTCTTACCGAAGAATTGATGCAAACGAGCGATCAATCATACCAATTACATAAAAAATATTCGAATTGATATCTATCGATTACATGTAAAAAAAAATACATAAAAGCAAACGAGATACAGAAGCAAAAGAAGTTTCCTCAAATTATGATAGCAGAGAAACTTTACCAAATATGCTGAAAAGAAATCTCAGAAACTATAAAAAAATCTTATATAGACAAGCGCAGACTCAGATGATATATACTAAGAAACAACATCCCATGTAAAAAAAAATTTCTTCAATTATTACAAAATAATCGGTTTTTCATCGATTATAATCATAAGATTTTAATCATTAATTTAAAAAGAAATAATCATAGAAAAATCACCCCTAAGTCGGATATTTGATTATAATCGATTTCAAATTGAGTGAAAAATCGATTCAGTAATGGTTTTTTTGTCGTTATTTTGTGATTATTGAAGAATGTTTTTACATGGGATATATTACAGAGAAAGTGTGCTGAATTTTTATTAATATTTACAAAAGTTTTAAAAGTATGATGGTTTCACACAATAAAATTTTACATTATATTTATGTGCTTTCAAGGGATTGTAAGAGAAAAAAGAACGAACGTGTACTTAATTATTGTTAATGAAAGAAATTTTCATGTGAATTTATTCATCATCTACACGGTTGGAAAAAATATTATTCCAGGGGGGTAACGCTATAATTTCAAATAGAAGACATAATAAATTTTATATCAAATGAAAGCTCGTTAAAAATGGGGTTTATTGGTATTAAATAGTGAGGGTTATGAAAACCTTTTAATGTCGAGATTAATAAATTTTCAGAAATTTTATACTTTTTTTGGGATGGAAAATTAAAGTACTAGTGATTCAAGAATGGAGTAAAATGTTTTTCTTGAATATTTTTACACGGTTCGATAGAGCTCGTCGAGCTCTATAAAACTGTATACATTAAAAAAATTTTAAGACACTTTTTTTGCGATAAAAAATTCAAAAAACTATTTGAAAAATCTTAGAAAACATGAAAAAAATTCATATTTTTCATGGAGAAGAACAACACTTACTTTTTCAATAAAAGTAGCTTTTTTCATTGTTTTTACTCCGTCAGGCGTTTCGAAACATACTCATTAGACGCAGCTTTTCACACTGCATTGAACGAGTATATTTCGAGACGTCTGAGGTAGTAAAAACAACGAAAAAAGCTACTTTTATTGAAAAATTGAGCGTGTTTCTTCAATTTGAAAAAAAAAAGAGTTTTTAAATGTTTTTGAGGTTTCCCGAGTAGTTTTTTGAACTTTTTATCTCAAAAAGATGCCTCAAAAAATTTTTAACATGCACAGTTTTGTAGAGCTCAACGAGGTCTATCAAACCATGTAAAAATATTCAAGAAAAAAATTGACTTCATTTTTGAATCAGTGGCACCTTGATTTTCCACCCCAAAAAAATATAAAATTTCTGAAAACTTCTTAAGTTTGACATTAGAAAGTTTTTACAAGCCTCACTATTTAGTATCAATAAACCCTATTTTTGACGAGCTTTCATTTGATATAAAATTCATTATGTCTTCTATTTGAAATTATAGCGTTACCACCCTGGAATAATATTTTTTCCAACCGTGTATAGTATAGAGCATTTAAATAATACTAAAAAGCAACAATACTTTTAACAGCTCTTTGATTGTCTAAAACGCAATTATCATTTTCATTTCCATTTCCATACTTGAAAACATTTCACAGAAAACATCGTCGTGATATTCTCAAAAGAAGTACTAATGTGTGAAAAGGTAATTTATCTGCAAGTAGAAATTAGTAGAAGTTTTTTGTTAGATGAATTTATAATTACAGAAAAGAATATTTTAGACTTCATTTTGTAGTCAGATGCATTGTTAGCTATGACCAAAGAGAAACACGACACTTCATACTTTACGTACTTCATCGTACTTTAAGATACGTTAATATACAAAAGTATCATGTTTCCATCTTGCCTATGACGCACATGAATATTAATCAAAAGAAGAAAAATATTTTGCCTTAATTTATTTCAAATTTTATCTTCGCTGTGAAACATTTGACATTATGACCTCTGTGAAAGTTTCTGCCAGAAGTAGAGTCCGGCAGGCCAATAAATTTCGTACTCATATCCGGTCGATTGAAATTTTTCGGATCTGGCACCGAATCCGGATCCGGATCCGACGGACTATACTAGGTAATTACAATTCACATTACAACTCTTATTGACTATTCAATGCTTGATGATATTAAATTATTTATTATGAATAAGTAAAGATTTGTAGAAGTCTCCGATTCAAATACAATCATAACTTCGAAAACAAGTATATCAATTATCGGTGTAATACTTCTACTATGGCACGAGTATCTAGTCGCACATTATCAATTCCATGTTATTGTAATTTTTTCATTCCTTTGGAAAAGTAACCTTGAAAACTGATGATTGATAAAGAATTTGTCTTATTTGAGTGCCTTGAAATTGCAAAATTAACCTTGATACATTTATTCATTATTAAGAGTGATACTATAATTTTCTTTTAACTTTCAAAAAGAAAAAGAAAGTTGAAACTTCTCATACTGTTAGAAACTAACACTCTGAAAAAAACAGATGTCATACCGATGTGGGTATGCGAGTGGGATGAAGCACAACGGACAGGCAAGCGACAAAATCGATTTTCGAGATTCAAATCCATATCATAACTAGCATTGAAGCTAGTATAGTGTTGCATTTAACTGTGTACTGGATTCTGTTTCATAGCAAGTATCTGTTAAAAAACAGATATCGCAAAGTATCTAAAACGTGTTAATATCATTAACGGGGTCATATACGAAAGATATATGTTTTAAATTGACGATTTAGTTATACTCATTAGTGGTTATACAGTTATGCCGTGTTATATATTTACTATATATTACAGACCATTAGGACTTCTTAAAGTTCTTTAGGCTATATTAAGAGCAGAAACTTAGGCCCAGTATAGTAAAAAATAGCTATTAGCCAGTAATGCAACTTGTTTCTCGGATTTTCCCGGAACTTTAATTCAAGTTTTGGTTTGTTATTTGGTAGAGCATATCATCATCTATCTTCAGTGGATGCACAAAGATGCGTGCTTAAGTCCTTGTTGAGATATAGTGTCTCAAACATAAGAGTCGATGTGGATTTTTAGCATAATCCCCTGGTCCTCCCAGGTTCATCTGAAAAATCAACTTTCGAATTTCGACTTGAAACTTTGCGCAGAGAAAGGTCTCAATGAGACTAGTTTATTCTGAAATTTTCAAATCTCTTGGCTCTCCTATCCTAAAATATGAACATTTAACATTTTGTGCTACAATTATAGCCCAAAATGTGAGTGTGGGTTAGAGCCTATCGGGTCAGACCCGGATTCGGACCTGGTTGGATCCGGATCCAGGTCTAAAAATTTCGTGTGGACCAGATCCAGATCGAGTCCGCGTTTTAAATTTTTTACTAATTGTGTCCGAGTCCGGATCTGGGTCTAAAGAAAATTTTGATGCATACAATATTTTTTCAAATTTTCAAAGTTTTCCTCGTTTTACAGAAAGAGAAATGAAATTTATTTACAAAATGGATAAAAAAACAAAACTCTTCTTGACGCTGAAAGCTAAACCGAATTACCATTATGTTCGCGTCCAAAAAAATTTAGTCAGTCAGGTCCAGGCCAAACATTTTTTACACAACCAGGTCTGAATTCAGCAAACTGTAAACGGGTCCGGATCCGGATTCAAAAATTCTTGGATCCGACGGGCTCTACCAGCCACACCCACATCCTCTAGTTGCTTTGGGACAGCTGTCAAAATCGTCGTTATAAATTAGGACTTATCAAAACATTAGTCATACGTATTTATAGAAGGTATGGGTGTCGGTGCGAGTGTGAGGTGTGAGTCTGGATGTAGGGTGTGAGGGTGAGGGTGAGTGTAAGTGTAGATTTTCCCTTCAGCGCATTCACGCCCACACCCACACCCTTTATTGAATGTACAGAAGTTTTTATGTAAATGAGTCTCGAAAAGATTCGAGAGAGGGATAAGAAATGTGCTTACGAAATACAAATAGTAATAGCCATCGATTTCTTCTAGATTTAATCGAATAATTAAAACCAGCACGTTTCAATATCGTTATGAAACAATTTCTTAATGATCGTCTCTATGAAAATGAGTTACAAGTTTGAATAAGCATTGACATACGAAATGTCAGAAAAATTTATCTTGAGCGAATTTTTCAAAGATGAAATTCTACATATCATTTATTTTATTTGATAAAATAATGATTCAATTTTATTAATTGATTGATTTAATTGTTATTTCTCTAAGATCGTCAAAGTTATCAGTGAAAAAAAATCTGTGTTCATTTAAAATATATTTTACTTTTCGTGAATAAGAACAAAGCGATCATCTATGAAACTATATGTTTTTAGGATTGTTTTTTTTTGAATGATTCATTGCACATTATCCAACAAAGTTTTATGCTAAAAACTTATTGTCATTCTCCTTATCTGTTGTTGTATTCGTTTGATAGTGTGATGAAATGCACTGATGATAACTACTCGACAATTCCATATATGAAAGCCGAAAGCGATCGCAGTTATTATTAGAAACATAAGAAAGACTCCGCCTAAAGCATTGATTGAAAACGTTTCACTTTTCGGACCATCAACATGACTCAAACTACTTGATGATGATGATGCTGCTGAACATTCTCGATGATTCATCCAGACCTTTTCAAATTATTCTAATTTTTGTGATTCACGTAACGACACAATATTGACATCTAAATCTTTCTCGTATAGCCAATTTTTAGGAAACACAATTGTAAATGATGATTTAACAAAACCAACACCAGTTACAATTAATTCATTACACTAGTAATTGTTAACAGCATATTCAAGTATAGATGAATCCCATATAGATGCATCAATAGTATGATCAAGTAATCGTGAGTATGTTTCTTCAACACTAGAAAGAGAATAGTAATGAGTAGAAATATTTCTTATATAATAATCGGATACAGCTGAATTAGTCACAATACCAATACGTGAAAAAGGTACAAGACCATTTTTGATATCATCAACACCAGAGATAAATGATTGACCACGGTTTAATGTAAGAAAAGACGAAAAATTAGCTGTATATATTGCAACAAGAATCATGCCTAATGCATATAAACCTAAAATTGTTAATCGACTTGGAATCGTTGTTAAACATATATCATTATTCGTGATTAAAATATTTGTCAATCCATGTCACATACCAATAAAAATAGTCTTTAATTCAGATTGATTATTTTCAATATTTCTATATTGATGTTCAAAAACATAAATAATAATACTGGAATAAATAATAACTGCAAATATTGCTACCCATACATCCCAAGTGAATGGATTAAAACATGAGAAAAGACTCAGTGATGATGAATATGGATTTAGTCGAGTAATAATTCGGAAAGTATCTTCATGAAAAGGTGTTGAAAAGTCAACTTTAACCATACGATCTGAAGTCATTACAATATTAGATAAAATAATATCATATTGACGATTATCTTCTGCTACCAATGCAACAAGAGAATGATAGGCCGTTGATGGATCAGCTACATTAATTGTATAAGTAAAATACATATGCGTTGCAAGTTCACGAATGAAATCAGTAACAAATCCATAAATAAGAATCTTTAGATCTTTAGTTTTCAGAGGAACAGAATTAGAACGGATTCGTTCTAATGTTTTAGTATGTGTTGACAATTGCTTGGGAATCGAAGAATTGTGTACTATAATGAATGGAGGTGCATCAATAACAAGAATTCGTAAATGTTGACCGAAATATAACGTGTGGAAGTTATATTATTACTTATAAAAAACAATACAAAATTGAACTTTATTTTGTATTAAAATAACAAAAATCATAGATAAAAGTAAAGAATATTCTAAAGAAATTCTAGTTAAATCAACATATCACAAAATTTTGATCTTACTAACAAACAATCTTAGATGTCTATTGATATATTTCTGAGATGATAGAACGTTTTTTGTTTTTTGTTAATTTCAGCTGTAAAACCTAACATTGAAGCATGGTCACATTTTCAAATATCGATCTAAAACTTTGCCCACATAAAGACATCAATTAGATTAAGGCTTTCCTCCTCAGAAATAGCCAATTTTAGTCAAATATATCGATTTTGTGATTTCTATCTGGTTAGTTAGAGTGAAGTGTCTACTTTCGAATGCACTATAGTTTATTGATTTTATGATGAGATTTAAGGATATTGCGTAGATTTTTCTGAACCCACCTACAGAGAAAAATGACGTTTTTTTTCTGAAAAATTTTCATTTTTATGTTCTATGCATCCCAGATTTTTCCATTATTTTAAATGCTAGGAAGCTCGGCTTGGTGTCAAAATGAAGATAAAAATTAGCTCTACAACTTAACAGAATTGGGGTCTTTCGATTTCCCTATTAATGTTTATAAAAAACTGAGTGTTTGAGATCTACTCTACGCTAAGTTTTCCATATTTCACCCGAGAAGTTTTCTAGGAATACAAAGTAGGATAAAATCGAAAGATTGAGTCCTGTTAAGTCGTAGAGCTAATTTTTATCTTCATTTTGACACCAAGCCGAACTTTCTAACGTTTAAAATGACGGGAAAATCTGAGATACATGGAAACCTAAATTTTCACCCATATTCTGTCTTCATTTTCTTCGATGGTTTAACACATATAAAGACAATAATAGTTACCGTCATCTATCGTAATGTCTCATAAGAGGATACCATAATGTATATCGATAGGAGCTTCGATTGACATCTAATATATTCAGGCTTTACCTCACTTTTAATTAATAATAGGAAGACTAAATTTTAAAAAAATTGTTTTGCGCTTTTTTCAATATTGATTTTTTCAGTAATGGTCGCACTGGGAACAAACCTTTTTTTCAATATACTTCAACCTGGAGAGTTGCACTTTTGTTTTTATCGACAGCAGCGAAAATTTTTGTAATTGACAATATCAGCCAAGAAAGACTATCGAAAATGACACAATTTACTTTTGCAAGTTGTCTTCGATGTATCTCGTATAGATCGAAGATAAAAAGAAAAGAATGTATAATGATGTCATCGTATAGTAAAAAAGAATAGTTCGCTAGTTATAAACAGCCTATATGTATTTTATACGAAGAACGAAAAACATTCAATGGTCGCGGTGTATATATCACTATGTAATAGTGCTAATGTAATTGCACAATATCAGTTAGTTCCATCATAAAGATAGTCTATACAGAATTTACTTTTGCAGAAAAACTGCAAAAGTAAATTCTGTCATTTTCAATAGTCTTTCTTGACTGATATTGTTAATTACAAAACATTTTCGCTGCTGCTAAAATAAAAAGTTTTATATTTCAATATTAAGTCGTTCATTTACTTATATATCATTTTTCATACTTATTCTTACCAACTTTTATTTGCTCTTCATCTACACAACCACTTGAGTTTTAACGCATGGTGAATACCTTTTCTCATTCATCAGTGTTCTTTTCTTAGATTCCTTCAGAACGACTTTTTTTCCTTTCTCGCAAGCAGAAAACAACGACAACAAAGACACCGTCAATTCTATATTTGTGGTATGATTGTTATAGTATTCTGACAATGTGAACGAAATAGCAAGAAAAATAAATTTAATTTTGATTGAAGCAGCAGTTAAAACAACAATTTTTATCGTTTTCAAATATAATTCACTTTATTAGCCGATGACTCGGACAGGAAAGAATAATTGAATAGACTAGTGTACAGATACAGGAAGCAAGGCAAGTTTTCATCACAAAACTTCATTGATGAGATTTTGCCGTGTCATGTATTAACTAATTCTAATTTGTAATTGAGCAAAAATCCAAAATAAAATCAAATTATTTTGGTTATGGATGTACATGGAAAGAACTCCAGCGGTCAGACTCTTATTCACACACGCTACTAAATTCAAAAGTCACAAAAAAGCCTTTATCAGTGTAAATCATGCCGCATCTCTTTCCATAAAAATACATATATGTCCAGGAAAGCAGAGGATTGACTGTAGATCACATAATACATTTTGTCACTTTGTCTTTTCGTTTGTTTTTCAATCAATCTTTTTTATTAATTTAAAACTAAATGAAATATTTTAATTAGTATTTTTTGTATGAGGATTATTTTGAGAGTCATCAACGAAAAAGAGATTTCTATATATTTATCATAGCTGGGGTGTGGGTGTGGGTTATGGGGTGAGCGTGGGTGTGCGTGTAGTTGCTTGTGTGGGTTTTGATGTACTCTTTCCCACACCCACACCGCAAAGAAGTGCTGTTGCAACTGTAGTGACTCTGAACAACATTAATATGAAGATATACGAAAACTATGCTTTGATTCCTCCAGTAATATCAGTTAAAACGAACTTTCCTACTCAAAGGAGTGTCGCCGATGAATTTACATTGAACAGAGAACAACGAGCTGCATTTATGATCATAACAGGTCACCTTGATGGTGACAACCGTTGTCGTACAGGTAAATTTGTGAAAAAATACCCATCATATATCGAAATATTTAATGTTTTCAGGCGACAATACTGGTCACCTTATAATGTGCATACCTGGATGTGGTGGCGTAGAAAAATCACAATTGTTTCATGCTCTTACCAAATACCTTTTAGTTACGAAAAGAATGCAAATAATGCGGAAATTGGCACTTACCGGTATTGCCGCTGCTGAAATCAATAGTATGACCATCCATTCATTTTTGGATGAACAGCGCAACTCTGGAAAAGTACGTATGATTAAACCAGGCGATTCAAAACTCGAAAAGGAATGGGCCAATGTTGAATACCTCCTAATTGATGAAATGAGTATGGTTGGTTTAACTCTACTTGCGAAACTCAACCAAATCATCTGTGCTGCAAAACACGCTGATCCTCAAGTTTCATTTGGTGGCGTACATGTTATTTTCTTTGATGATTACTTACAATATCGATCTGTATATGACGTACTTCTACATACAGATTTCTCTTTACCGGTCAAAAGTAAATCGACTAAGACACTAACTGAAAAACAAATCCAACAACGTGTTGCACGTTCTTTAATTCTTGAAATCAACTGTGTGGTCAAACTTACTCAACAGATGAGAACAGAGGATCCACATTACCTTCAGCTGCTCGAATGCCTTCGTCGCGGCGAATCCAACTACGATGACTACGAATTATTGTTAACACGAATGGTCGGGCAGCCTTCTGTACCATCGTTAAGTGATTCACCATGGAATAAAGTAAATTTTCTTTTCTAGCTTTAGACGATCTAACATCTTCGTCTTTTTAGGCTCCCACTCTCGTGTTCCGAAATGAAGTACGAACACAACTAAACCACAAGACAGTAACTCACAAAGCAGAACAAATGGGACAATCGCCAATAGTCTGCGTTGGCCAAGACACTTGCAAAGGCAAACCAATTGAAGATCCAACACTAATTAAAATTTATTAGAATTATCTGATAGAAAAACGGAACATTTACCAGGTCTATTACCTCTTGTTCCTAGAATGTCTGTTATTTTAACGCAAAATATTGCAATTGAATGGGGTCTTATCAATGGTGTGAACGAAATCTTTCAACAACTTGTCTACCAGGAAGACTCAGTATCAACTGATGTTATTTCAGAAGAATTTCCTAACAATGCACGATATGTTCATCGATCTTTGTACGCCTTAGTGGAAATCAACAGATCAAAGATCGAATGTAACTTAGAACAACTTGAACCAAAGCTGATTCCAATACCGGTAATGGAACAAACATTTCGAGTTGATATAAGTGATATTATTCCAAAAGATAAGAAGCCAAAATCAAATCGAAAAGCAATTTTATCCGTTAAACGACATGCATTGCCGTTTGTACTATCCTACTATATTACAACGCACAAGAGGCAAGGTCAAACCTTAAATGAAATTGTAATAGATTTAAAACTATCTAATAAAATCGATGATATTGCTGCAATCTACGTACCTTTGTCGCGGGTAACACGTTTGACTGATTTGGTTATATTGCGATATTTTGATTATAAGGTATTGTTAATCAAACCCAGCAAGTCACAGCTAGCAGAAGTTGAACGACTCGATAAGCTACATTTTAGAGACCCAAGCGAGTTTTTCAGAATGATTCTAACACCTTTTCTGCTTTGAATGAAAACTATTGTCGTTTGTATCAATTTTTGAATACAGTTTTCCTTTATAAATTACTTATTCTGTGATGTATACATTTTAATACTTTTTATTATTCGTGCTGCATGCATTTGCAGTATTTTTTTTCTTTATTATCATATACCATGATATGTGCAATATCCATGTACTACCTGTTTCTCTGCATTCATTGAATGTTTTTCTTTTTTTTTCTGTTATAAATTTAACATCTTTGTAACTCCTGATTAGTTGTCGAATTTCAGGAATAAACGCGCTCCGCCATAATACCACCTCATTTTACTAATTAAATCATTTTATCATACGATGTGAATACGATGGCCTGTACATTTGATAATGAAATCATGTTTCATTTTAAGCATTTTTTAAGCTAATACTTTGGTGCAGATGTATTCTGGTTGAGATATAGTCGAAGTAGTCCAGGAGAACTATATCTAGCTCCGATAATTGAAACTAACCTCTTTCAATTCATTATTATTGTTTGATCGAATCATATCCTCCTAGTAAATAGCCCTATCACCTAACACTATTATCAGTAATCGCCGTTCCATAGTCTGAATAAGTTATTGGTGTTGAAAGAAACCTTATTTCCATCTTAAAAACCATAGAGAATTTCAATATATTCTTATAATTGCTGCAATGTAAAAGATAGAATTTTAAGAAAGATATCTTTCTAAGACTTCATTAAATGAATATGGCAATGAGAAACAATAATTTTATGTGAATTAATTCTTATAATTTGAACCTGACTATCTATTAATAGCCAACCATCACATCATTGTGACAGATACTATTGAGTAATTTTAATATTTTCAGAGATTTTTATAGCATACTACAATAGTATATCAATGTCATAAACTCATCAGTCGAGGGTTAAGCGAGTCGCAGCGACGAACGTTACTTGTTTATCTATGCTGAGATATGTCCAGAATAAATGATGTTGCTAACATTTGCTGGACACCCAATATATGCTCGATCAAACTGATTGTCTTTCCCTACGATTCTTTTGTTTCTGCTTTGTATAGAAAAAACCTAAATCTTGCAGCGAAAGCAATGTATTCTCGCAGTCACAGTCGATGAGTAAATATCTGACAAGTTAAGTTGCAGATGAATAAATAAAAAAACCTCAAAGACTTATCCATAAAGATTAAGTCTTAAAACTAAATAACAATAAATTTTGTTTTTTTTATTTATGTTATGAAACATGCCAATTCAATGAAAATAATTCCTATTTCAACTTAACTCAATCTACTATGGAAAACCTCAAAAAATCAATCGACTTGAAATGGTATATATTGGATTGTCATATAACTTCTGTAGGTTTTTTTGTTCACCAAGAAATTTGTTTTACGACAAAAACATGCAACATCAATCAACAATATAATAGCCATTATTTACGACAACCTTCGACCATCTTGCTGGTAATTGTTCAATCCG